AGCAGTAGCAGAGTTCCATGACCAGGCAGCTGCCGGTCATATGGGTTTCCACAAGACGTTGGCTCGTGTGAGCCGCCTGTACGTCTGGCCGAAGCACAAGGACTTTGTGAAGGACTACGTCGCAGAGTGTCCCACCTGTCAGGAGGTGAACAGTGCGAACCAGCTACCTTATGGTTTGCTCCAGCCTCTTCCTATCCCTGAGGGTCGTTGGCAGTCCATCTCGATGGACTTTATCGGTCCTCTTCGACCTCCGACCCCCCGCGGTCATGATGCTATCCTGGTCGTCGTCGACCGCTTCATGAAGCGTGCACGCTTTGGTCCGTGTCGCTATGCCATCAGTGCACGTGAGGTCGCCGACATCGTATTTGACCGAGTCATGCGTGACCACGACTTACCTCTGAGCATCATATCTGACCGTGACCCGCGCTTTACCAGCCGATTTTGGCGACGGCTCCACGAGGTGTACGGCACTCAGCTCCGCTTCTCCTCGTCTTACCATCCTCAGACTAATGGTCAGACCGAGATCACGAACAGGACTCTCGGGGATATTCTCCGAAAGATTGTTCGTGACGACCAGCAGTGGGATTTCCATCTTGCCCACGCGGAGATAGCCTACAACCACGCCGTCTCGCCAGGCACGGGGATGTCGCCTTACTATTGCGACCGCGGCTATCACCCGCGTGTTCCCGCAGACTTTCTTCGACCGTCCCAGATGCACCCCGACTCGAGTTGTCCCGCGCTGGATGATTGGGTTGCACACATGACGTCGATTATGAAGACCGCMCATGAGCACATAGCCGCTTCCCAGACTCGCATGGCAGCACGTGCGAAYCGATCGAGGATGGATCMCCCATTCAAGGTCGGTGATGATGTGCTTATCGACGCCCGCCACTTACAGCTCGAAGCGGACACGGTTCGCAAGTTTCGGCGTCGCTTCTTTGGCCCATGCCGCATCCTCBAGGCCGTCGGTTCTGATACGGCATCTAGCCCGGTCAGCTTTYGTGKGAAGCTGCCCGACTACCTACGCCAGGCTCGTGTGCATGATGTCTACCACGTCTCGTTACTGCGTCCTTACCGCAGACCGTCTGAGCGTTTCGCTGGACGACCATACGAGCGCCCTCCACCCATCATGGTGGACGGCCACGAGGAGTTCCTCGTTTCAGACATCATTGGTCGCCGAGTCACCGACGACAACCCTCCCCACGTCGAGTATCTCGTACGTTGGAAGGGTTACCCTGATGAG